TGCTTTGTCATGCCTGGAGCTGATCCGTGCTGGTCGCTGAGGAAATACATCAACATCGCGCTGTGGATCGCCGGATTCGCTTTCACCATGGACGAAGCGGAGTCCAGCCCGGGGTCGTCATGCCTGTGGTTGCCACAAGCCCGCCCGCCGCCGCTCACTCTAGCCGCCGGCCTCTGCTCACTCTAGGCCACCGGCCTCCGCTCACTCTAGCCCGCCGTGTGTGACGCTGTGTTTCGTTGTGAAAGCGAAGAGGACACGTTTGGCCTTCCAAAAATGGACACGACTAGAAATCAGTGGTTAAGTTGTATTTACAACACTGTTCCAGAACACTTCAACCCAAATATTCAGATGTGTGCAGCACATTTTAAGGAGGACTGTTTCCTGGATGCAACAAATGTCTCGTTTATAATGGGTTTTAATGTTTTTGTCTCGTCGCTCCGGCTGGGACACGGCATCACAATATGGTAAGGGGCGTAACATTTCCGTCACACGCTTGAGGTATTCGGCCAATCACAACTCACTGGATAGCTGGCCAATCACAGCACACCTTGCTTTTCAGACCGATGAGCTTTGTAAAAATCGATGCGTTTCAGAAAGGCGGGGCATAGAGGAGAAACAATAATGTTTCAGTATGTGGAAAATAATGTGTTTTTTTTAACCTTAAACCGCATAAACACATTTCATTACACCAAATACACAAAATAATGTTCTTTTTAGCAACATCATATGACCCCTTTAATCATGACATTTCTGGGAAAACTTCTTGAGAATATTACATTTCAATGAATACTTCTGAGGTTCTTCAGTATGTGTGTTTGTTTTTGAACTTACGCTGGCCCCACTGTCCACTGTTAGGGTTCAGGTAATTTGGGTACAATCCTTGAGGTTTGTCCAGTCGATTCAGCACTTTTCTGATGTTCATTACCTGCAACGGCAGAGCACATATCGCTTGTATCATCACTTCAAATTATTAAGCCATAGCTAAGCTCATCCAATACAGTACGCCATTAAAAACGCAGTAAACAGCCTTTTTGATCCGACCGATGTCTTCCTACAGGAGACATAACTCATAAATCTACAGACTAGGTCACTTTCACAGTTTGTCTAGCCTCATTCAGAGCTTGTAATAGTGTCATTTGTCTGTGTCTATATTGCAGGTCAGGTCAGCAGATTCATTCGGAGAGAATCAGATCTGAGAATTGAAGCGAAAAGAGCATCAATATAACGGTTTACGAGCAGAGGTCATCCTGGGTCACTGTGGTCAGCTCTTCTAACAGTTCACGATCGCTCCAAGTTCACATTTAGTTCAGTGTGGTGTTTAATGCACTGCAGAGGCGTGATGCCTGAACTGCTGCTCACCTTCTCGGCAAAAACTGGTCTTCCCGAAAGTGCACCGAGATGCATGAACTCCAAATGCAGCGTCCCGTATTCGGCAAGAATACTGCTTCCTCCTGACGCCCATGGCCAGTTTCTGCCGATCCCACTGCATGAGGAAGAGGAATTACATGAGGAGAGATCAAATTTATTTTAGTAACTCAGCAATTATGAGCTGTGTGTATATACTGTACATTTTGTGTTGCTCTGAAAACCTTCAACCAGTCAAAATTGCAACTCGTATAATTTGATGTATTTCAGAATGAAACCGAATATTCAGAGAGAAATAAGGCAGGACTTGATTTTAATCATCAGACTTGACAGGATTCAGGGCTTTGATATTATTGGTGAGAATTTCAGTTGATTCATAGAATGGAAATATACATATATAAATATACACTATAGTTCAAAGTTTAGGGTATCATTTTTTTGAAAAAGAAATGAATACTTTTATTCAGCAAGAATGCAATAAATTGAAGTAACAAAGAAATTGTTGCAAAATATTTATATTTCAAATAACTGCAGTTCTTTTGAATTCTCTATTATATACTTAAAGAATCCTGAAAAAAAACATGGTTTCTATCACGGTTTCTACAAACATATTAAGTAGAATAACTGTTTTCAACATTGATAATAATAAAAAATGTTTCTTGAGCACCAAATCAGCAAATTAGAATGATTTCTGAAGGATCATGTGACACTGAAGACTGGAGTAATGATGCTGAAAATTCAGCTTTGCATTACAGGAATAAATTACAATTTATAATATATTCAAACAGAAAACAATCATAATATTTAGTAATAAAAATGGTAATATTTATCTTATTTTATATTAATATTTAATATATACAGTATCTGCTTGTGAATGAACTAAATATAACTAAATATATATAATTCTGTCATGACAACTCTCGGAGGGATTGGCATGGTAATGTACATGACGATGTTAATGTATTTGTTTTTGGCGGAATAGATCTGCTACGCTGCGGCGGCAAAGCAAGTACCGAGACTTGCTACTGCCAATACATCCACAACATGCTGCTGTGAGCATGTAAGAAATATTGCTGCTGCAAATATAACATACATGAAATACCCCCATATAGCATACATGAATCACCTCGTAGCAGATCTATACAGGTGGAGCTGGGGAAGGTGGAGGGTTTCTGAAGCAAGCTGAACCAGCTACAACAATCACTAGTCATATATTTGAATGTTGAGCAGCGAGCTCATACAGGAGAGAACCAATCAGCTGTGCCATGTGATAATGATGTCATTAGGTCAGATTGAGTTAGACCTATCGGACTGCGCCATCTAGAGTTTCATGCCAGAACTCT